GCTTATGAGTTGTGATTGTTATCTGGCAGAGGTTTCCAATGAAGTGATATAATTTTTCAGGTTTATCCTATAAGAGTAGCAACTTGCAATCTTCATGGTCAGCATACACGGTCTGGAATTACTGCCCATATCCAGAACATAAGTGCACGAAACTACATCTGTGGTCAGTCTGGCCTAAAAGAGAATGGAGGGCGAATAGAGGTAGCTTCCACATGTGGGACGTCCACGAGTGGTGCTGGTGGTGGTGGCCTTGGCTTGGCTGATGTGTATTCTGATGTTTGGCTTGAGTCCTCTGCTGTTATGCTGGGGCCAGTGTATGTTGATGCAGCAACCAGTATGGATGTCTTGCACCATGACATGCAGCTTATCCAACACAAGTAAGGAATATATTTTGATATCACTGCTTGGTACTTAGACTTAAAAAGTGAAGTCTTTCTTTTGCTCTTTTTCCTCCTCCTTTAGCTCCTCCTTTTCAAATGTACTGCTTTTCTGTAAAACATTATTATTTAATATTTTATATTTCTTTACAAGGCACATTCAGAACCAATTCAAAATGTACAAACTCTACCAGCCTCACATTTTTTTCCCTTCTTGCAGGTTCCTTAAACTGCATGATGAAAAGACAAAACGTCTGTGGTTCCTCTGGGCTCAGGAGACCACCAAAGTATCTGCGCAGGTCTTTGGCAAGTGCGGCTGTGTTGGAGGCTGTGCCTTCTTTGGAAACAACAGGAATGGTTTGCTGTTCTTCAAGCCTGGTAAACAAGACTTTTATAATGGCTTGAATATAGCCCAGTTAAGGTAGGTTTGATTATTTGGGGAGCTCTGATGCTGTTATAGATTTTTTTTGTTTCTACTTTTTTGGTAATTTTTAAGTTTCACACAGCCAACCCTGCAATTATTATTTCTTGTTTTAATTATTCACAGTGTAATAAGTGTGATCTGCTGTTGTTTTCCATAATAAATGATACAAATGAAAATATTGAAAATTGTTTACAAAATGATTGTACCCAGCTACTCCTGGGTATCCACAAGCATTGCACTATGAACTATAAACCTTTATAACCCGATGGTGATGACTATGCAGGTGCTTATCATTGTGCTTATGGTGATGATTATGATGATATTGATCATCATAATGATTAAATCATAATGATTATCAGAATCATTATGATAATCATTATGATTATCAGGATGATAATGATGATTATCATCATAGATGCTGATGATAGGTATTGTGAATATTGTGGATGATGTTATAGTTCCAGAGAGAATGATGTGATAACTTTGCATCTTTGATATTATCAAAGAAGTGCAACTGCTATGTGAGAATTTATATCTGCTGTCTTTGTATTTCAGAGTGAATGAGAGAACAGAGGACCCTGGTTATGGCCAAAGTATCCTTCAGGAAGGTCAGCTTGTATTTCAGAGTGGAGCATATTCTGATTTGTCTCAGAGCCAGTATGACTCGCATGCAACTACTAGTAAAGATCACTATGCTCTTAGCTCTGGCTACATGAAGAGTGCATCTCCAGCCACTCCAGCAGATATACATCGTGGAAACAGTGCACTCCATCATGTTTCAGATATACACTGTACAGATAGACTAAACCCACGACACCATTACCAGAGGGAAGTCTCAGTTACTAGCCATGATTCAGACCACCATATAGTAGATATGGAGTCCAGGAGCCCCAAGGGAGCTGATGAATCCAAGGATGTGGTTCTGGGTGTACCTGGAGCGTCCCCTGGTAGTCTGTCAGACCTAAGACGGTCTGTGGATAATGTGAATAGTGCAAGGCAGTCAAAGATGCCATCTAGTCTGTCTCTACAAACAGAACTGCCACTGCATGCAGCCAGTGGTCCCAGGCTGTCAGTGAGTGGAATGAGAGAGTCTAATTCAAAGCAGTCACTGTCTAGTCAGCAGAGTCTTTTGACTAGTGTGCAAAGGACCATCTCTATTGGTAGTGAGACACAGTCAGAAGCTTTTTTTTCAGCCAACGAAGATCAAGTAAGTGGAGCAAAAACTACTTCATGAGGTCAAGGATATTTCTAAGACTGTTTAGAACCTTATGAGTATTTTCTTGTGCTTATGTACTTAGTTTTGTGAAATGTCCAACATTTGCTTATCCATATATCAGTACAATTTCATTAAGCAGGCAAATTTTGGAGAAGGTCAATATCGGATCTGTTTTTGCCAGATGACTGTCATTGGAAATGGAGAAGGAACATTGTCAAGAGTATCATCTCAACTGAGCCTGCAGCCAGTACTGGAAGATCAGCATTCACAGATGAGGACTGATCTCTCCAGTGAAACATCAACACCTCCAACTCCACATCATGACCCCAGTAAACTTACTATCAGTTCTGGAAGTTATCATAGGTGTGTATTATGATTCTTGTTCTATACAACATTGTTTTTTATGGGAATTGATTTATGTTTCAGATGTTTTTCAGGTCTTATGCCTCTGGGACTAGATTTTTTCTATTAGTAGTGTAGATTTATAATGCTTTTGGGATGTTACAGGAAAAAATATTGTGTACTTAATTGGAATGCAGAAGGGTAGTTTGAAAGTGGAATTTTAGTTGATTTTAATGAATGTATATATATTTTTTACTTACAATCAAATTTCATTTGTATGAACCTTTTCTAGTACTGAGGAAGGCTACAAAAACCAATCATCTTCCTGTAGTAGAAGTAGACATGATAGTAGCAGAAGCACAAGCAGTTGTAGCAGCAGTGGTCACAGTCCATGCCTAGACCACAGCCAAGCATCCCTCCTGCACTCGCTTGGTTCTGAGTCTTCAAGAGGATCTGAATACCACCAACCAAAGAGATCCAGGAAGAAGAGGGAGAGGATTCAGGTAATGAAATCTCAAGGGAAATGGGTACTGATTCATGCAAAATAAATTAGTACCTATAGATGCTGATTAATTTTGTGAAAAGTATGTTTTTAGATAAGGAATGTTTTCTTATCTGTACTAAACTGATAGAACAATGGCGAAGTGATTTTAGAGTCAGCATTGTATTTTTCAAGATGATAACCTTTGTTTTGGAACAGGCATCACTGGACTGCAGTGGAGATAGCAGTTCTGAGGTTGGAAGTGTATCTAGCACATCCTTCATATCTGCAGTTTCATCTCAAGAGGACATTGCACTAGTAGATCTTCACATGCAACTCAACAAACCAATTACTGATTCTCCACTTCTCATGTCTTCCTATATTAACCACATGACTCAAGTATGATGAGTTTTTTTTTGTTGTTTTTAGGCAGTGTTTAATCATATTTTCAAATTATTATAACAATTATCTGAAATCCTGTTAATTTTTCTTATTAGCTAAATGTTTCATTTCCACTACTAGATAATTCAAGATTCTCTGAAACTTTATAGACACTTTTCTTGTTTATTCTTCCGTCCCAAATCCTGACTATTCGCTTTTCAGCTTTCCTCTTATATATTGTGTAGAACAATGTTTTTTGATGCATTTTTATGGAGAAAATGTTTGAAACATGCAGGTATATACTGATACTGTTAATGTAAAAAAAAAGAATTGTGTGCTTTTTTATTATTGGATACTGTAGATACAGTTGTTCTTTTTGTTACCAGTGAAGTAAGTATCAGTAATAACATATTGATAATGGGGATATTACTGGAATTAATGTAATATTTTCAGTTTTGTTTGCTACTATTTTCCATATATTATGCTTTGTTAAAATTGATGTATAGATTTTCAACTTATACAGTTGTAATATTTGCTTCATCTTCTCAATGCTGTTCATGTCATTTTAGCTTCGATGTATGAATTGGGACACACCGATGCCAAGCTTCAAGGCCTGCAATTGTGGAGCTCCGGAATGTCATATTCCAGTTTTTGAGAAAATAAGCGAAGGCTTCACAGCTATCAGGATGGTTGACAGTGGAAGATTGGCCCCCCCAAGGTCTCCTCCTCCCCCATCAGGTCGCACACCTTCACACCCTTATACCTGGGATACTCCGATATTCACATGGGGAGATACACAGGATGAGATGGGTCATGAGGATTCACAGGTACTTGATTTAAGATTGCTGGAATAGAATGTGATTTTTATTTATTTTCTTTTCTAAACAGTTTATGGATATTAAATAAAAAGACAGGCAACCTCTCTGAGCTGTCTCTGGGGGTTATTGTCAATTCAAGCTTGGTTAAGTGTACAATTGATTGCAGGAGGTGGTTGGTGGGGTATGCGATGCTAATACTACGCGTACCACTGTGGTAGTGAAGCTGAAGAAGGATATAGACATAACACTGTCCCCAATGGCTTTAGAATCTGCTCAACTCTTTATTGAGGTAAGTAAAATTTTACAAGCTAAGTGATTTTGGTTTGATGTAATTAACCATCTGTGCTCCCTTGCCTTTCTCTTCCTGTGCCCCTTCCATTATCTGTTAATTGTTCTTCTAGTTCCACTGTTTCATACTAAATGAGACTAAAATATTTGTGTATGTATGAACTTATGAATGCTAATGGCATTACTTTTATTTTTTCTTTAAAGGCTTTAACACCAGTGATGGAGCAACTGCATCCTATGTCAATTATCAACCGTGCACACATGAAGTCATTGTCTGCAGTTGCGGGTCAGAATACCCTCAAAAAGGAACGTTACATGTACTGGTCTCGGCTTAGGGATAAAAAAGTAGCGGGAACACCTGAACAATCAGCAGTCCTAAGCACAACCTATCAGGAGAGTTGTTTCAAGCAAATGCAGGGGCAAGTCACAGTGCCACGGGTAAGTATGAAAATGTTGTGAGCTGAATATGATAATCAAATCTTTGACACAGAATGATCATCTTCAAATATACAACAGAGGCAAGTGTGTTGACTTCATTTTGATGAACCCTTGGGTTGCTAGTATGATTTTACTGTACCAGGAATAGTAGCCTTCAGTCAAGCAAATGATATTACAGAGAACAATTTACAGTTTTCTTCGTGTTATTATTCTGGATTAGAATTGGAAATATTGTGAAAATACACAAAAATAAGATGCAGAAACTTTTTCTATTTTATTTTGTAATGTATTGCGATTCCATGAAACTGGTAGACTGCTAATGGTGTATGTATCATTGATGTGTTTAACTCTCTGTAGCGAGGAAAATGTTGTCTTTGCTGTAGTAATGTTTTGTGAAATGTCCTTGCTGCTAATGGTGTATGAATCATTGTATAATGTGGTTAACTCTCTGTAGCGAGGAAAATGTTGTCTTTACTGTTGTAATGTTTTGTGAGATGTTTCTGAACAGAGATGGCTCTGCAAGTACTTAGGCAAAAGGAGACAATTAGTAGACCCTGTGACCTCACCTGATTTCATCTTTCCTTGAGTTTGTTGGAAGTATTTTATTTGTTTGCGAATGATATCAATGCCAGTGCTGTTATTTTTATTATAAACATAATCATTATTAGTGTTCTTGACATTACTAAAAGCAATACCAGAAGATATTCTTGAAAATCAAGGAAAGGGTAAACAGGTTAGAGACTGCTCATAATTGGGTCAGCTGTACTTGTGGAGCCATCTTTCTGTGAAGACAAGTAATAAATTAAATTCATATAGATACATGCCATCCCCGGCACCATCAGGTTAAGGTGTTTAACCAGAGTTGATAGACATTTTTCCATCTTTGTTGTTAAAGGGGGTGTTTGGTTGAATTTACTAAAATATCAAAATATACGAAAAACACTGTGGGGAATGATGATCGAAATATGTCAATATATAGGAAAGACATTGTAGGGAACAGTGTTTGAAAAATATCAGCAATTAAGAAAAACATTTTGGGAAATGATGTTTAAGAAAATCAACATGTAGGAAAAACATTGTGGGGAATGACATTGCTTTACTTTAAAACAAAGAGCCATGAGGCAAAAATGTACATCATAGAAAATTATCAAATTCAAAAAGGAGAGTAAAAAACAAATATGTGGAAATGCTTTTGTTGAACCCTCTCTTTTTTTAGATTTTTTGTGTTGATGTTGATTTTTGTATTTTTCATTTATTGATACAGATTTGTATATATTTTCATAAGAAATTAGAATTAGAAATAAATGAAAGATTGTTTTTAATAAATGTTTTTCTTCAATCAGGTGAACATTACACTACTCCAGGCATCCGTGGTAGAGGAGGTTATATCATTCTCTGCCCTAGATAACATAAGGGACTTGACATGTGTGTCTTTATTTTCTGTGTGCCTAGATAATGTTAGCCTTCAGTTTTATTCTGGGCACCAGTCAAAAAAGTCAGTCCACATGTACATGAGGAATCCGCATGATCCTGTTATGCAAAAGAAGGTAAAGTATAATTCCCCATGATGTCTTGGATGGCAATTTATCATGATTATCTCCCTTTCTCAACATTTTTTATTGTTGTGATATTGTTTGTTCAGTCAACCTTAGTGTTAAATGTGTCTTTGATATCATTCTGCATCAGTTGTTTGTTGGTTGATGTGTACTTTTTTATGCATCTTCTCACACTATTCATATCTTGCTTCAGTCTGAATACAGCTTGGACAGCTAGTGTTTAAGATATTAGATGAATGCACGTTTAATCATGGTTGTCAGTTTTCATGCTAGACTTATCTATTTGTAACCATGATATAGGTTATCAGTATTATTTTCAGTCTTTTACGAAATTTACCATGGATAATGTGAAAGGGCAATAATGCTTATAGTTGCTTGTATATAGTAAACATTTGCATAATACATAGTTTGACCGAAGGAATCCAAACATTCATAATAACTCAGTCTAGAGCAGTGTTTCCTAACCATGTCAGAGATACAGAACACTGCAAGTTTTGTTTTGCTAGTGCACAAAATGAACTATGCATCAGTTGCACACAGAATCAATGTGTTCAAAAAACAAAACAAAACAAAACATAAACTTTGCATGTCTCAAATCATACAAGTGGGGTGAACAGAAGTGACCTCCACTGAACCCTTAAGAATGACTCACGGAACAAAAGTTAAGAACCACTGGTCTAGAGCACCTCAACATTAATGGGAATTGCTTCTGATATTGGATAAACTTTATAACTCTTTATTTTCAGTTTGTTTTGATTTATGGTCTTATAAGTAGATGTCAATATGGTACCATTGTCTTACTAGATTATTCTTGGTAAGATGTAAATAATCAGCAAAAATGTGTTCATAAAGTTTGATGTTTTATTTTGTAAGTGAAATATTGCTCTGAAGAAGTAATGCAGCAAAAGGGCCGTGGGCATATTTACGTTTCTCTACTCTGCTCTTTATTGCTTTGTTTGTGATTTTTACAGTATTCATTCTTTACTTGTTTTCATTTCATAAACTCACCTGGCTTTTGTCTAGTCATGCTGCACTAGATTGCATCTTTTATGATTTGGCTGAACAGGGTACACTCCATAGTACTGAAATGAGAAAAATAATTGATAGTAGAGGCATAATGGTTTCTTTTTGTGTTGTATATGTCTGTTATGTAATTCATGACAAAATCTATTTATATTGATTATAATTATACATAATTTTACTCTTCAAGGGAAAAGGTAAAGCAAGACATGCAGTTGATTTACTAGCAGAACCAGTTTACATTGAGACATCTGAGAAACAGCAGGAGGAAAATATGATGTCTGTTGATGTGAACAAGATGCATGTTCAGCTGAGACGCCTCAAGAATGAAAGTGTTTTGCTAAAGGATGCTAGTATAACAGCAGTACCAAACCACAGATCTAAAGTAAGTTTATGAAACAGTAAAAGAACACTTGCTGCTTTTGATTTTAGAACATATACAAAAAGTGAAAAAGGTATTGGCTAATAAGTTTACTCTTCCGGGACTACTTTTCTAGAGGTCAGTTAATGGACATTATTATTTCTCCCAGGTGTTGTTTACCTTCAAGCGCTGTGCTCGTGTGAACAGCGAGGAAGGAGACAATGGAGGCTCAGCAGGAACCCCAGTTATGGAGGATGACAGAATGGGTTTCATTATGTTTGAGGCAGGCTTGGAGAATGTTGCATTAAGGTATACTGCTTTATGTCTTGTTTTTAATGATCTTGAGTTGTTGCATTGCAAAGAAAGGTAGTTTTAGGATAGTAAGTAGCAAAAATCTGTGTTATCTGATATTGATTTGTATATGGCCTTAAGTATAACTTCGTTAGGAAATAATCTTATAGTATTTATGTTATAAAGGCTCAGATGTGTAATGAAAAATGAAATCCGTAAATTCTTTAATACATTCTCCAGAGCTGTAAAGAGAAAGGGATTTGGCCAGCAGCCTGAAGGAGGGAAGCTTGATGGCACTACAGCAGGAGGAAACAATGGAGCAACCACATCAGCATTTAGTGGTGCTGGTCAGAGCTCAAGTTCTGCGCCAGGAACTGCCACTAATGAGCCTACAAAGCCAGTACCTGAGATCCGCAAGGAGTTTTCTGAACGACTAGGATCGTCTTCTGTCTCGCAGATGTCTAACATGTCAAGTCATTCTGGAGTCCCCCATTCCAATTCATCTGCTGCCAATGAAAGTGTGAAAGATTTACCTGTAGTACAGGTAAGGTTTTTATCTCTTTATTTCTTTGAAGTAAAACAGTAGTATTCAGATGTGTGATCTGAATTACAGTCTTTGACAAATTATTTGTAATCAGCCATTATGGTTAGATGTAATTTTCTTAGGTCTTCTTGAATGTTCATATACTTCAGTTCAATGTATCATCTTAAAATTACTTGAGAAAAGTTCTTAGACCATTTAGAAGAGTTACATATAAATATTGTAGGTGGAGTTGGCTAACATTAGGTTTACAGGCAAAGATGCTTTGACAAAATATCATAGTTATTGTATGAATGACCCATATCCTGTTATTCCTAAGTACATACTTATTTTTCAGACAAAAGACAAACGTGATATTACATCATTCATGGTGGAATTGAGAACTGTTTGGTTCAATTTTGCTGCCCCCCCTCACACTCCTTTCACTAAGAAAATTGATTTCACAAGGTAAATATTTTAGATATTGACAATATTGGGTAGGACATCTTTCATTATTTATATGAGATATATTAGATGTAGTTAGTGCATTAAAATATTTGTAAAAAGTTGTCTGAACTTAGTATGTGAAAATATAATTTCCAACCTTATCTTTTCCTCACTTTTTTCCTAGACTGGACTGGAATTTGCTTAGCACAGCATCTCCCTCAATCAATGCTTGGATGAACCCAAGTGACCGACTCACTGTTGCAGTCATCCAGTTTCTGCATGCCTCAGAGATTCGCAGACTGGGGGTTATGGCTTCCCTCATGGCAGAAGCTCTTGATGTGCAGAGTCTGCATGTACCTGTTAAGGTTTGTGTATAGGAGCACAGCAATTGACTTTAGTTAATTTTGTTAAGGCAGAATATGCAGTGTATTTAATTTTATTCAGTTTGTTTATTAGTAGTATTCATTAAGATCAATGATGTTATCTACTGTTTCAGAATAAGTATGTCAAGCTGATGCCCCTTAGTCAGACTCTTCAAGAAGATCCTTCATGTCAGTTGTGCACAGTGTTACGTCGCTATGTTCTGCAGTCATCTTCACGCACCATTGAGAGCAACCTGACACCACAGCATCTTCCCAAGCTTGCTACTCTGAGACAGGTATTATATGAAACGGAGATGATTTAAGAAAGTGTTTCTCATATTGGTCGATAAAGATGTTATGATCATATTATAACAATAACAATCTCTTGTCCTTTTCTCATATTTATGATACTTTGTCTGTTTCTTGGTTATAATCTTCTTTTACAAACTATGTTTTGTATGCTTTTATATGTTAGGGATCTTTATCTTGATTGTAATTTCTTGTATGGGGAATTCCACCTCAAAAATAAATTCATATATTTGAGCTCTTGTCTCCCTTATCACAAAAGTGGCCTAGTTAAGGCAACCTTCAGTCATATCTCCTTCCTCAAATTTGTAGCTATATACAGTTTTGCTAGCACCTATGAGTTTGAAGGGCTGCAGGCAGGTTCTGCTCACTCCTACCCTAATAAATCCTTTCTTAAGAAAGTTTCTGTTATAGTAATTGGTTATTATTTTTTATCACAGGGTGTAGTGGTACTAAGTAGGCAGTGGAAGAATGCATTGTACATGCCACTATTGATGGAACAAACATTTAGAAACAAGCAGGCACGTCCAACATTTAATTACAGGTCAGTATACAGTTTTTGCTGTGTGGTGAGTATATTTTACAGCCATAAGCTATAGTGTTTTGGCATGATGGCATTCAGCCAGAGTTTCTTGGTTTCTAATATCCAGAGTCAGGGTATATGCTATTTTAGTCCTATGTCCTGGATGACCTACCATCAAGGTATTGGCTATGAGGAGTTCTGGTCTAGGGAGACTAACATAAATCTTTTGGTTATCAGTCACTCTCAGGATTCACTATGAACCCTGAGGTTCTTTTGGAGGGGAACTCGTAGCCAAGAGGTCAACTCCATTAGTTCTCTTCACCATGACTGTATACGACAATACTGTTCATTGTGTAAAGCCTGTCGAAAATTAGCTTTCCTATTAATGCTGAGACAAATGCATTGCCCACTAATGTATCTTGTACTCTTTCAGCCACACTTCTGACATCACTCATACTCCTGGTCCCATTGTTGACCCTCCTCTCCCTGAGTCAATCACATAGTTGTATTTCTTTGCCTCTTTCTTCTTGTGAGTGAATGTACTGAGTGTAAATAAGTAATTCTGGCACTGTATGGAATATTTTATCTCCCCCCCCTGTTTTCTTTTCCCACATTTCATCTCCACATTCTATACTATTACATATCACATAATTACCTCCGGGTACATTTTTGTGTTTTTACTATTTATAATTTGGGATACTCATAATTTTATGATTTTTGATAAGAAAAATATGATTTTATTGCTTCATATGTCTTTTTATATGTGTTAAAAGTAATTTATCTTCATTTTTATTCCTGTGTAAGTGGTAACTTTTTCAATCTAACACTTTATTTATGCCCTTTGATATTTGATAATAATTTATGTCTTCTGATATGGGAAACTGAGCTCTTGAAATGCCACTAACTAAAATATGCCTTAGTGAAACTATGATTATCAGGCATCAGACTGTATGGATAATGTAGGAATGAACATTTTCATGGTATACATTCAACCTGACCAGGATTTTCACTCTGTGTTCTTTACAGGCCAAGTGCAGTACCAGAGGGTCGAGCAACACCAAAGTTTGATCCGACCTTAATAGCGACTGAAGTAACAGATGAGAAAACAACGCTTCTGGAGGCTGAAGGAGGATCACTACACTCTCGACAGGCTCAGGGTATGGCTTGCCTTCTTGTATTTTGAAATTAGGATATTTCACCAGTTATATCTTAGAGCCAAAGATCATTCTAAAACTTCACTTCCTATATTATCTTGATGTGTTAGCCATTGATCTATACTCACTTTAAAAAAGTCAGTAAATGACATTTATGATGTGTAAACATGTTTATTGCACCACTCTCATCATTCACATAATCATTTAATTAAGTTTGTAGAAGCATATTTTTTTTAATGCTTAGAACGGATTTATTTTGTATCTAAGAAGGTTCATGACCCATTGTATTCAGATAATCAATCTGATAGGAATGTATCAAGATAGTTACTTTTTGAGTATATGATGGTTTTTTGATTGTTAGTTTGAGAGGATTTTCATTTAGGGGACACTTTTTGTAAGATTTGATACTAGATATAATCAATACCCAATTTAAAGATGAACACAAACATAAAAAAACATATATATAATGCTCTTTTTTATACATAATTTCATATTGCATACATACAATGCTTTTTTTATATATAATTTCACATTGCTGTTGGGAAGTGTCAGATATTCAGTTTGTTTGTTTCTATTACATCTTAATTAATGCCATCATACTTATGCTATTAATTGTAATAGGTTTAGTGCCATTTTTTTATTATGCATGCTAACCTCAAAAAGCAGCTTCCATCCTAAAATCTCCCCTAAAATCTCGAAAGCTGAGCTTTAATGAAGTAAGGATATTAGTCTTGGAAGAGATTGGCTTTTGGAAGAGAGCATCCTTGATGATATGACCTAAGAATGTTAAAGATTGGCACCACTCCCTCCCTCAGCACATAGCTAGGCCCAGGTTACCTTATGCAGTTTCTAATGGATCACTTAATGTTTTGTTGAAAAGATTTCATGAAACATTTATTACACCTTTGTATTCCATTTGATTAAAAAAAATGATTTGATACAAACACATCAAACTTTTTATTTCATTGAATTGAAATGATTCATACTTCTCATTTTGATTAGGATGGTAAACTTCCATAACCACCATACAGTGAACTCAGTCTCAGTTACTTGGCCACCAATATATTTACTTTTTATTTCATATATATGGCAACTTACATAACAGTATGGACAGCAGGTCTGAACATTGACACTTCACACAGTATCCTTGCTTGTGGCACAACAAAGTTATAGCATTTACTATACATGAGGATCA